AAATAAAGTTGTGTGAAAATGTTCTGCTTTTTATCTGTGTTTAAAAAGTTATTTGTAAATAAAGCTGAGAGAAATGGTTCTGCTTTTTGTCTGTGTTTAAAAAGTTTGTTATAAATAAAGCTAGGTGAAAATGGAGTGGCCGTTTTTTGTTCATTCAACTTTTATTTATACAAGTTGATAAAAAAGGTTGAAACAAGGAAAAATAGCCACTCCATTTTCACTCAGCTTTATTTATAACAAACTTTTTGAACACAGACAAAAAAATGGAACAAAGTCACTCAACTTTATTTATAACAAACTTTTTAACAGACTTGCTGCTGAGAGTGGATGGAAATAAATATTTGACTCAAACTGCTGGTTTCCTTTGACAAACTTTTAATGTTTAATATTTTGACTCAGACCATTTTATTAGTTGGACTGTTTAGGGATGGTGCAGTGGTTAAAACTGTGACCTCACAGCTGCAGGTCGCAGGCTCGCCTCCTGTTCTTTCTGTGTGAACTTTACATGTGGCTTTTCTTCTGGTACTCCAACAAAAACATGAATAACTAATTGTCCTAGATGTGACGTGGAGTTCCAGTGAACTCATGAAAGCAAAAATCTGATTTAATCTTTTCCAAAAAGATGATTCAACTGATTTTCAGCTGATTTTTATGATTTGTGGAAATACATTAAAGGTCTTGAACTGTTTTACGTCATACATAGTTCAAACCTGCATTTATTTTTATCCCCCCCGTGTTTTTCTCTTTGCCACTCTCCTAATAAACTATGACCTCTGGCAACAGTTGATGTACGTTCAGTCTCTTTCGTTAAGCTTGGACCAGTGAAGAACTCTGGCAACAGTGGATGTACGCTCATTTCTCCCTTCTCACCTGCTGCAGCTTGTATCCCCTTCAGAGTTGTCCACCGTCTTTGCGCTCTCATTATTCTCCTTTTTCAGTCATTCTGTGAAAACTGCCCGTTCTCTGTAGATTTACACACATCCCATATTCCTTTCGTCTTGATGGTTTTAACTGATGAAGTCCTCCATCCCGACTTGTACGTTTCAATCTTTTCTCTGGGTTGAATTTGAGCGGTCACTTTAAAAGGGAGTGAATATTTTTGCAGTAACCAATTTTAAATTAAACATTTTTAATTGGGATTACCGTGTTGAATTATTAGGAATATGATTTTACTTTGACATGGAAGGATTTTTGTTATTAGGTAAATCCCACTGACGTCACAGATCTCTTTTGCAAGGAAACCTGAAGGCAGCCCAACATGCACGTTTTTGATTATATCAGCCGTGATGAATTTATTACAATAAATCAAAAACACCCATTTGGTTTTGAACCCAAATCAGGATAGTAAAATAAACCTAATGCATCCAGAACCTGAACTCTAAAACCCTGAGAAGAAGTAAAACCAAGTCCAGATGTTTTTCAACCTGAACGAGATGAGAAAGTTCTTTATTAAAGCAAACCATCGTAAACAAAAATAAAAACAATCCAGCAGACAAAAAGCCAACAAACGTTAAAAACTAAACTTTGTTCATAACGAATTTTCCTCCCAATAGTCTTTTTTTTTTTTTTTAACTCGTCTTCACCGTCCAGTTTCTCTTATTGCATCAACTCGGACTCAAAGGCCACATTTCTGTTGGTTGTACCAGAACTAAACGGATCATCAGGCAGCTAAAAAAAAAACCCTGCAGGAACGAGTCAGAGCCGACAACGGATTATTTCCTGCCATCCATCATCACCTGACCACCTAGAAACCAGTTTCACTGAGTGGAAGATCTGGTCCAGAAGGTGGTTCTGACGGAACAACGAAGGAGAAAAGCTTTGGACTTTCAGCACAAAAATTAATTTACTTTATAACATCCACAGGAATTACCTCAACATTCAGACCTCAGAGACCCACCATCTGACCCCCAGTGCACTGAGCTGGACATCAAACAGACCCATCAGAACCATCCAGCAGTGCCAGTGAGGCTCCAGCAGGAAGAACACCAACACTTTTGTTGTTTAACCTGCCGTCAAGTGAGCAGTTCACCCAGTACGAATTATTTACAGCATCTTAAACATCAGCTGATGAGCAGTCAGGTTCTGGTGTCACACAGAGAAGAGTCCTGGCCGGGAATCCTCCTCCCATTAAGAAGAAAAGTCCAAACTGATTGCTAATCAGTGATCTGGTACTCAGCGTTGGTTTGGAAAGTTAAACCTGCAGGATGTGAGGAGACAGATTGAGGCAAGGGGTGCTACGTCGCAGGACGTAAGGTGGTGCCACACCAAGAGGCAGGGGGGCCACGCCACACTGTGCAAGGTGATGGACCGAAAGACAGAGGACACCACGCTGCAAGATGTGAGGCGAAGGACAGGACAGGGGGCGCCGCGCTGCAGGGGACGCCACGCTGCAGGGGGCTCCACGCTGCAGGGGGCGCCACGCTGCAGGGGGCTCCACGCTGCAAGGGGCGCCGCGCTGCAGGGGGCGCCGCGCTGCAGGGGGCGCCGCGCTGCAGGGGGCGCCACGCTGCAGGGGGCGCCACGCTGCAGGGGACTCCACGCCACAGAGTGCAAGGTGATGGACTGAAAGGCAGGGAGCACCATACCACAAGATGTGAGGTGAAGGACAGAGCAGGAAGCACCACACCACAGGGTACCAGGTGTCAGACCGAGGGGCAGGGGGTGCTACACCGCAGGGTGAGGGGACGAGACGAGGCCTCTGCTCAGTCCTTCACCTGGTACCTGCAGGGAGGAGTGCTGTTCCACAGGCTCTTTAGCTTTTCATCAAAAATACACCCCCCCCCCCCCCCCCCATTTCATTTTACTTTAAATTTTCTGCATTTAGTTTTTATTTTCTGGCTTTTGTTAATGAAATAAGATTTATATCCCATTGTAAAACTGATCTGTTTCTTTTTCAACAGAATAATTTCAGTATCTGAACCTTTTTTTTTGTCTGAGGTTCTGATCCGTTCAAATGAAAGTGAAGAGCTTTGCTGTAATTTCTGAAGTTTGTTTGTTTTTTTTAGAAAAGCTGAGCTGCTGTTGTATCGTAGTTAGTGTTGGGCTGCAGCAGCTCCTTTCAGATCAGGCAGAACCTCAACCTTACAGCAGAACAGAACCAAACCCATTCTAAAGCCACAGCACGGACACCTGTTCAGAGGTTTACCTGCAGGGTGCTGCTGTGCACAGCTGGACCTGCAGGGTGCTGCTGTGCACAGCTGGACCTGCAGGGTGCTGCTGTGCAGCAACAGAAGAACTTCTTTGGCTGAAACATGGCGCTGCAATATGCACAAATCTTATTGGACACTCCCAATGCTGTTGCTTAGTAACGGATGAACACAAGGCCTCAGACAGACGGTTCTAACGGGGACCGAGGAAAGGTCCGACACATAAAATGACCTCAGACACAGACACACACACACACACACACAAACACTCACACATAATGGCTACAGTTCCTTCTGCAGATTGGCACGTTGATGCTGTGGAACGCTGGCACCCAGCGGTTGTCATGGAGACCTACGTTGCAGCCCGGCGCATCCCTCTGGGTGCTATGGCAACACATCCAGTAGCCCGGCCCGTATGGTAGCGCCTGACAGTACGGCTTGTGGTGCCAGCGGCACAGCGAGACGTCCCCGGGGCAGTACCGCCTCTTGCACTGCTTGCAGGGGTCTTCGCGGTACCGCTGGTCGGACACCCAGAGCGAGTCGGCGGGCCGCACGCAGTAGGTCTCGATGATGAACTTGAAGTAGCTGGAGGTGCATTTGAGGGCGGCGAGGCTCTGTGTGGGCAGCAGCAGCAGGATCTTCACCAGCAGGTGGTGCGGCAGAACTGACAGGTACGGCTGCGGCACCAGAAGCTGCTGCAACCGCTGGCGAAGCTCTAGGAAGTCCCGGGACGCTGACCCGCTTCGGCCAAGAGACACAGCAGGGGAGCAGGAAGTCCCACTCGCAGGGCTGGTGTTAATTCTCTTTTCTGATTGGTGGGTGGAGTCACAGGGGGAGGAGTGAGAAGGGGCGGGCTCAAAGTAAAAGCTTGTTTTGTAGTGGTGTGTGTCTGTCTCATCAGAAGGCGGAGACACAAACAGAAGGCCGGGCAGTGGTTCTGCCTCCTCAGACTGAGGGGGAGGGGCTACAGCTTGCTGAGGCTCCACCCCCTGCTCAGCTGATGGGGGCACAGTTACCTCTGGAGAGGAAGCAGCTTTCTGAGAACAGCCGACTGGCTCCGTGCTCCGACCACCCAACAGTGATGATGATGATGATGATATCACCGATGAAGCCGAAAGCTGGCAGGAGGTGAAGTTCTGCTCCCCGGAGGCCAGCAGAACCCGCCCCACGGTCCTCCCCAGGCTGTTGTTCCTCGACAGACCTCCCTCAGTCCTCCTCAGGCTGTTGTTCCTTGACAGACCTCCCTCTGACCTCCTCAGGCTGTTGTTCCTTGACAGACCTCCCTCTGACCTCCTCAGGCACTCTGACTCCAGCCGGGCCACCATCTCGGACACCCGGACAGTTTCCTGTTCCTCCTCCTGCCGGACGGTTCTAGTCAGTGTGATGGTGGTGGAGCTCCTCTGGATGGTCAGCAGTGGTTTCAGGTCCAGCTTCACTTCGTTTGCCCTATGCTCCAGGATGGCCACCATCTCTACGACTGAAACTTTCTGCTCCTCCTCTGCTGCTACGCCTCCCTGCTGTTCTCTGCCCAACAGCCCAGTTGAGTCCATCGGACCCGGTCTGAGGACGTTTTGCTGTTCGTTCAGGAAGTGAGTCCTCTGATCCTTCTCGGGGTTCGGGTTGTTTTCTGACCTGCGGCGTCTTTTGGCACAGCTGTTTTCCTGCCAGCTCCCTTTAGCTTTGGCGGCCCGGGGCAGTCCGGTCAACGTGGCGCTGTTGGTGCCCGCTGTCGGTTCTTGGTCCCAGCTGCTGGCGCCGCTCCCTGGTGATCCCTCAGCTCCGTCCGTTCGCCTCTCCTCTGAAGTAAAGATGGCTATCTTCTCACGCACGTGTCCGGGTTTAATGACGGCCCACATGTTCTGCGGCGCCTCAGTGTCCTCTGTGGTGTTCTGACCCGGTCCAGGAGTGGTGTTTTCACAGTCGGGCGGAGCGGTGAGGAACCCGCTGGGTCCCTTCAGACAGAACGAGGCCACGGTGTTGTTGCAGCGCAGCATGTTGGAGATGACGCTGAATGGAAGCCGAGCGATGCCGGGACCGCCGCTCGTGGTCCTCAGCAGCGCCCCCTGCTGGCTCCCAACGCTGGTGGCGTCCAAGCGCAGCTCGGACCGCACGAGCTTCGGACAGGACTTCAGATGCATGATGAACCTGAGAGGGAGGTGGGACCAAAAATGGAGAAATCATCAGAAGTTTTATTAAACTTTAGTTTGGAAACAATTCGGTTTGTTCAGCTGATTAACTCGATTCAAGATGGTCGCCAAAGACGGTTCTAACTGACCGTTCTACAGATGTTGAGACAAACTCTGAGTGGAAGTCAGCAGGAGCATCAGATGGTTTCCAGCTACATTTACCTCCACAGTGTTCCGACCGGCTGGTTCTGGAGATCTAATCCGGGCTGGACCGACGGATGGTTCTGGTCCTTCAGCTTCCCATCTTAAATACGCTGCTTCTCCTCAGACTCCAACTTCAGCAAAGACCTCATCTGTGCAAAACCTGCAGGAAAACACAAACACTTCATTTATGAACTACACTGGTTCGGTTCTGAAAGTCCGGTTCCATCCCAGCTTTTACACACACGGTTCAACAAATGTGTTGAAGCTAAAAGAAGCAGGGCACCAAAAGCTAAAAGTAGCTTAAGATGAACAGAGCCAGCAGCTGAAGCAGATTTCAAACAGAAAAAAGTTTTGAAGGAATTAAAAAAGAGATCTTCATAAATTTCTACAGGGGAAAATATTTGTAAATAAAAAGTTAAATATTTAGAAACTTATAAAAGTTACAAAAACTAAAAAAGTCACAGCAGCCAAATGCTGAATGAACCGAAGGTTTTGTTACATGAACAGCTAAAAACAGCCCAAAGTCTGCAGGAGTTTGATTGTAAACAAAAACAGGAAAGCAGTAAATGCTGACTCAGCGTTTACAAGAATAAACAACCTAATCAACAGAAAGTTGTAACGCACAGATTCAAAGAGTCTGAATGTTTCTGACATCTGGGTTCTGGATCTGAATAATAATAAATATCCCGTCTGCAGATCCTCCGAGCATTAAGACTCTAATTGCTCTAAAAACAAACAAAAACAAACAAAGACCACAATCAGGACGTTTGTTTTTATCGTTTCTGTGATTACGCACCCGATAACTCAAAGATCAAAGTTCATCAAACAGCTGGATCAATTGAACAACAGAGAGCCCATCTGAGACAATCAGTACCTGGATCGGTACCGCAGCTCGGTTCTGATGAGTGCACCATGAGGCCGGATTTAAACTAATCATGCGACGGGACCTCCTCACTTTTGACCCGACCCGTGTTTTGTTGTGGTACGTGATAACGAAGCCGGTTCGTCCGTTGTTTTGTCCAGAAACGAAGATAAAGAACCGACTGATGGACTCTCAGAACACGCAGCCGGTAACGTGAAGACGAGGGTCTGGGCCCGTTTCCAGCAGAAAACAGAACCGTCTCCTGCCTCCAAGTGTGTGATCCAGGAAGACAAACTGAGGAGCAGAAAACTTCTATAAAAACACCAAATCATTTTTTCCCTTTAAGGCAGCGTCGACAGAAAGTCTGGAAATCTGAAAAGAACATTTAGATCAGCTGTTCGCCACAAACAGAACCGCACCAGGAGCGTCTGGATCCTGGTTTCTTTACAAAACGGACCAGATGTTCTTAAAGACAGAGCCGCTGATTACCAAACCAGGACAGTCAGCAGGACCGACGCTCAGCTCAGCGTTCGCTTCTACTCATGTTTGAGTTGATAAAAGCTAAATCAAAAACACAACGCTGCTTAAACCTGATCCAAGATGGCCGCCCGCAAAAAAGGGCATAAACTCTTGTCAGTTTTACAGCTATCAAATCAAAAGTCAACGTTTGTCGTTTCACCACAACCAAATTTGAGATATTGAGCTAAAATTGAACGTGGCAATAGCCGAGTCTCGTCCCAACACATCTCGTCTGATCTCATAATATCAATGAGATGACCCAAACGAGCAGAACTCCATCACTCCTTTACGTGAGAGGCGGCGGGTGACGTGCATTCTGTCAAGGAGCACCAGATCCTTCAGTTTAATTCTGTGTCTTAGAGATCAGAGGGGATCTGAGGCCACGTCGCATTAATTTAAACGTTTTACTGTCAGAGACGGATTCTGGACCCTGGTTCTGTCGCCGCGTCTCTCCAGCTGTTCGGCCATTTCCGACCTTCAACTGGAAACTTACCGAGACCAAAAAGGTGGAAATAAAGAAAATCTGAAACGTCAGAACTCCGTTCACGCCACGTTTTTTGTGGAAAGATCCAAACGCCCTGATAAGTTTCCTATTGAAGTCTTATTGATCTGTTTCCGAGTCCAGATTGTTTTCAACAGCTGGAGGAGAAAAAACAGATAAGAGTAAAAATCTATTTAATCTCTTATATTAGTATCTATATACACATTTAGCTTCTTTCCAGCCCCTTTGGAGCATTTCTGAAGCTAAACGCAACAAATTTTGTGGACTTTCCTGTTCAACATCTGGATTGAAATGCAGAATTTTGTCCCCATGGACACGATGGAGCAAGTGGGACAGTTTTTGTCTTTAATTTCTGCAGGATGTAGTTGAGTAGATATAATTTTGAGTTAGATAAAATGACTGAATGTGCTGACTCAGCTGAAATATAATAAGATTTTTTTATTTCCCTATGTGACAGCATCACCCTCTTAAAAGAAGAATTAGCAGAATTGATCATAAAAGAACACAAAACTATTTAACATCCAGTTGTTTACTTCCTGTCTGACAAATGACGACATGTTTTCCACTTTGGCTTCAACAAAAGCCGATTATTGCAGATTGTGTTATTAAAAAAAATAACCATTTTGAGTAATCAGCAAGTTTTGAAATGTTGCTGCACACGTTTTCATGGCAAGTCTGTCAAATATGCAGAAGTTATGACATCGTTTACTGGACTTTATAAGCATCTCACATTCTGAGTTTAACCCAGACACATGACAAATATAACATGATAAAAAGGTCTCTCTTGAAAATGAGTCTTCATGCCTCAATGAGACTGCCTGAATAAATAAAGGTTAAAATAAAAAATGACATTTGTCTCATTTTAAAGCTCTTCCAGTTTAGAGCAGTTGTTTTCAAAGAAACCACTTTTTAAAATGTTAATCTACCGAATTGTTTTATTAGAGCTGAGCAGCAGGAAGTGTTGATGCTTTAACGTCTTAAACATAAAAACTGATTAAAATGGGCCCGACAGCTGATTTATGAACACTTTGTAATCAGAACAAGTGTCAGCAGCTAACAGGAGCTAACTAAATGCTAACTGCAGCGTTTCATCAAAGACGGAACCAGACTCGCACTGAACTGGGCCAGTCTGAAGTTTACAGAACCAGACTGGGCCTAAACAGGCTGTTAAACAACACCGGACTCAGACCTGTCCCTCCCTGGAACCCAATCTCTGGTCCCCGTCCCCCAACCCTGGTCCCCGTCTCCAGTCCCCAGTCCCTTGTTCCCGGTCCCTTGTACCCGGTCCCCGGTTCCACGTCTCCCAGTCCCGTCCCTATTCCCCGTCTCCTGTTCCTTGTCCCCATCTTTGGTTCCTGTCCATAGTCCCCACCACTGGTCTCTGGTACCCATCTCTGGTTCTTGTCACTGATCTCTGGTTGCCCGTCTCTTGTTCCCGTCCCTTGTCCCCGTCTTTGGTTCCTGTCCATAGTCCCCACCACTGGTCTCTGGTACCAGTCCATATCCCTGGTACCCATCTCTGGTTCCTGTGTATAGTTCCTATCCATGGTTCCTGTCCCTAGTTCCCATCCATTGTCCCTATTCCTGGTCTCTGGGTCTCTGAATCCCTGTCCCTCGTCTCTGGTTCCATTCCCTATCCCTGATTCTTGTCCATGGTTCCGGTCCCTACCTATGAG